TTCCCTGCCTAAGTTGCTTGATGCCACTGGGGTTGGTGACTGAGTCTCAAGATTGATGGTTCTGGAGTATTTCAATCTGCCTTCTCTTGCTGAGGGACATAAGTAGTTTGGGGGTTCCTAGCCACCATGATAGCCATGGACCTGTTCCAGATTATCAAGGGCCCATCACACATCAATGGTCATGTGCTCAATCTGGTTTTGGTTGAGGGGCATGTGCGACCTGAACTGAAAGTGGGGGATATTAGCATCTATATCTAATCCATGCATGGCAGAACTAATGTCATTAAGGACCCTGTCCACTTCCCAAGAATTAATAAATTTGAATTCATTCCAATAACCTTTGTCACCTCTATTGGACCTATCCAGCCAACATTTAACTGTGAGCAAATCCAAGTGACTTTATCCTCAAGATGCACTGCAAACTCTTCCTAGCAACCAACTAGATGTTCTTCCTGTCCATCCTTCTCCTTGCTGGGTGGCAGTCTAAGGATGCAATAAAAGCAAAGGAATACGTTTGATTCACTGCTCTTACCATCTCAGTGTGGGCTTGAACCTGAGTTGCCTTTACCAGTGCTCCAAGAATTTTCTTTCTCACCTAATCACCCAAGTCTTTCCACTTTCTCTAGCAGTATTTTCTGCTGCTTTTACATCCAAATTTAGTTTCCAATTAATCAAAACTAAAAAGAGAATATGGATAATTTAGCAGTTGACCAATGAAATTCCCCTAAATGTTGTTCACTTAATGCAGTGAATTGTCCAGATTTGTGGAAGTAACTACAACACTCCAAGAGCTGACCACTAGCACAGCTGGCTGGCTAGAGTTCAAATGCTTTCTCCCATTATATACTAAGAAAGTCACTGATGTGTAGAAGCTGCTAAATGGGTCAGAAGCTTCTGCCCATGATCATGAAGTTATCTGCCTCCATGTGCCTTTTCAGTTGCTTCCTTCTGCAGCAGAAAAGAAATGATTCAAAAGAATATTTTAAAGACATTTAAGAGATTAAACCCTCTCTTTTATTCTATGTACTATAAGCCTTAGCTTGATTTTTTAAAAATAATTTAACACCAATGGTAAGCCCTGAATAGTTGCCCTACCTTCTGCTTTATAAGCCCCAATAGACTAGCTACCATAACTTTAATTGCTTGGATACTGCAGGATGTATAGAATTGACCTATTCAGTTTTACTTGGAAATGGCAGTGAAAATTTCTTTTCTTTTTTAGTAATTGTTTTATATAGCTTTTAAGTTTTATATAATTGTATTTTTATTTATTGTTTTAATAGTTGCAAGCCGCCCAGAGTCTCCCATTAGCAGGACATGGGCAGGGATAAATTTAATAAATAAATAAAATAAAATCTGCTACAAGCTATTGCATTATATTACCATCAGAAAGTCTGAACCAAAATGTTCCTCCTTCAAATCCCACACAGCTTCTCCATCATTGAACATGGAACTTACATTCCCCTGGTGAGAATTTAGGATATTTGGGTCTTCCAACAGCAGAATCTCCACCTCATGTATAGCAACTGAAAGTTCTCTGCATTCCAAGAATAGTTTGTCAGGCAGGGGCTACAGCTTTTATTACAGAAAATGAGTCTACAGCAGAAGGAACTACACATCAGAGTTTTACATAAACCCTGATAGTCCCAGAAAAGGTATGTGTGTGTGTGTGTGTGTGTTTCTGTTCCTTTTTAAGGTATAACTCTAATCCATATTTAACTGTCTGAATTAGAGAAGTGAGGAAGAATATTGGTCCTAGGGTTATTTGTGCAGCACCAGATCCTGGCTTGGTATTACATAAGAACTGGCCCAGTAGGGTTCTCTGTGCATCTATTTTTTTCCTAAGAAAAACTGAATTATTCCTTGGCTAGTTCTTAATTAAGCAAGCCAAAGACGTCTAGACATTAACCTGCCTAGACGGAATACAGAAGCCATTTTAATGGAGGTCCTTGTTAGATAATCTAACAATTCAAGACATGCTAAATCAAAGGATGAAAGAGATTAGGCCTCCACTGTGGGCTGCAGTATGATCCTTGGAACAAGATTCTCATTTACTTAAGTAAATTACTGTACATTATTGTATAATAGTGTTCACATTATAACTGACAATTAAAACCATTAACATGAAAGCTCATAAATGGCTGAAAGCTCACATCAAATTAACACAGCCATGATTGAAATCCCGCCTCTGATTTTTGCTCTTCACAGACATAATCGGCATCTTGCATGGAAATGAACTTGCAATCAGCAACAACATAACTATGCTCTGGGCAGAGGTGCAAGCTCTACTAATACAAAAGTTTGTGGTCTTACCTAAATAATGACAACTGAACATCATGTGTCCTTCTCTACAAATATTATTTTGATGTAACATCAGACAAGAAATCTGTTATTGTTAACCAGGTATTTTTCCAGTATGCTGGACTACAATTCCCACAGTTCTCAGGCAATGGGGCTATCCCACCACTGGGAGATACCAGTTTAGGGAAGTGTCTTCAGAGTTTTGCAGAAATCAACAAGTTCCTAATAAGGGAATTGGGGATTCTGCTCAAGCTTAGCAAAAGCTAATTTAATACCAGAGCAAATCCTTTTTATTCATATCCTACCTCAAAGGGAGAAAAGTGTTTGAATGTACCAACTCAAAGTTACTAAACAAATGTTGGTTACAGACTCTTAAGTTATAATTTTGAATTAAAATGTTTGATAACCCATCCCATCATTTAAATCTGGAGGCGCTTGAAGACGCTAATGCATAACTGAGCTGTTATACATAGTAATGGGCAACCCATTATTTTTGCTACATTTCAGTGCCATAGTACTAGAAGCATTCTCGAGCAGCTGTTTTTTTCTTCAGCTAGTTTCCTGGGACTGGATCCAGACTGACCTGAACTTAGTTCCCACTGAAAAGTATGAAATAAATTTGTCATGACAGTTATAATTCTGTTGAAATCAACTAGAACCTACTCAGACTGGATACCTGTTGGCTAACCTGCATTAACAATGATCAGGTACACCAATTATGAACCTACTCTTTACATTTAGCACCCAACCAGTTTATAAATCATGTTTTGTGATCTAGTATGTTCTGTGAAGCCAAATCTGCTTGTTCCACAAACCATGGTTAATGGCAGCACAGTAGATGAACCCAGCCAATGTAAATACAGTTCACATTCAGTAATCTAAAGCCGGGTTTCTCAGATGGGTGGACTTCAACTCCCAGAATTCCCTAGCCAGCATGGCTAGCTGGGGAATTCTGGGAGTTGAAGTTCGCCCACCTGAAAGCTGCCAAGGTTGAGAAACACTGATCTAAAGTAACATGAAGCTAGTAAGACATGTCCTGAGATATCATGGGGTTGTATAAGCACAAGGCTACAGCAAAGTGGAGGCACCATTTAAACACTCATTATCAAGTGCATAAACCAAGTGTGCATAAAAGCTCTAGCGAACCTAACAGCAAAATGTGGGATGCTGGAATGGACAGCTTGTACTGGATGGCCAAGAGGCCCTAAACAATATGTTGTGGGGAGAATCCTATGAATAGACCACAGCACGTGATATTGTATTAGCCCATTATGGAATGATAAACCTGGGCTGAGCCTGAAATATTTACATTTAAAACAGCCGTTATAATCTAGGATATGCTTACTGACTTTAATTATACTTAAATGAGGGGAGGTACAAGATTTTAGAGCAAGAGACTCTGGCTAATTTCTTCAAGAGGGATGTTGGAAGGAAAAATACTTATAGCATTCCACATGCTTCCTTGTTGCCAAATTTGGCTTTTGATCTGTGTGTAAAAAGATGTTTCTATTGATTCTGCAGAGAACTGGGACTGGAAGGAAGGGTGTTAACTTTTTCACTTAAATCCCTTTCCTTCCTCGAAACAAAACATAAATCGAACGTGAGTGCATGAGACTGACATTTTCTTTTTCTTTTCTTTTTTCTGCTTAAAGGATAACGACTATCGGATAAATGCTGTGCCTTTGATCCAATCTCTCTGTAGAGAACATAATGAAAAGGATGTTCTCATATATCCTATCCCCTAATTTAACATATAAATCACTTCCAAAAATATGATCCAGATGGGCTCGAATGAAGGAAACCAATTAACTCACACTGCCTTACCATCTGACACATTACTTGTGATAATAAAAATACAAACAACATGGTCAAACAATAAGGTTCTGTCTTATATCTGACATTTCCAATTAGTTTTCAGATTCGGTGAGCTCACCCGCCCCCTCCTGCAACGAGGCAGAACAACAAGCATTCTGTTTTGCAGTGAATGTGCATATTAGCTCTGTGTTTACAGAACAAACTCTGCAGCTGAAGCAGATTTATTGGCATCCCCCAGTGGATCCCTCTCTGGAACTGGCGTACCCTGCATACCGTCCACATCTGGTTTCTCAATTAGATTTGGAGCACATTTGGCTTTCCAGTGCTCCAGCGGCAGAATCACTGCCAAACCTGGAGGGCAGAGTTCCTGTGGGCAGTCTGTGAATATTTGATCTGTGTCTGTGGACCACTGGCGCTGCTGCTGTTTCTTCTTTTTGATGGGTTTCCTAGAAGTATGGCCTCCGGCATGTGGCAAGACCCTGTTTGGCGGGGAGGTTTGCATGTTGAGATAATTAATACTACAACAAGACCCTGCATGTTGAACTGCAATTAATGCTACAAAGTTTGGAGTTGCGCACAGAAGACTTTTATCCAGAATATATCTGGGGCTGAATTTTGGAAGGAGCTAAGGGTAGGCTGCAGCCAAGCAAGCTATTAAGGATGTTCTCTTTTCCCTTACTTTGGAAAGAAACATTTAACTTTCGTTGTCAGAAGTAACACAAATGAGCCTCAAATATTCATCAAGAACAGGTAACTGCGAGCAAGGCTTTTTTGTGGAAAAACAACAAGGGCACAAAACACAAATCATACCACACATTTTCAGAGAAACTGGGATCAAAGCAATCTTGTTTTTCATTAAAGAAAATTCACTTGTCTTGACCAACCTCAACTGGGAATCTCCGCCCATTGATACTATGCTCTGAGCCGGCAGATCCATTACTCTGGCCCCAGTGAAATTCAACTTTTTCTGCTTTGAATCTTCCTGGTAGTCCAGCACCGCTGATGAAATAATCATCCTTTAGAAGGATGGCAACTGGAAAGAGAAGAAATAAAAAAGAAAGAACAAGACTGTAAAAACATTTTTGCCATAGGTATCAGCCTCACATTTGTTATAATTTCTTAAGACTGGGTGTAGATGAATGGAGACACAGATAGAGGACGATGTAAGCCCTTGTGGGTCTATCAGCCACATACATTCCTAAATTCATACACTGAATTAGCCTGCAAAAGACAAGGTCTGAGTCTGCACACGTAGTCTCTCATGAAGATAAGCATATACACAATTTCTACAGAAATGGGAGTCTCGAATGCTTGCAAATTGGAGTGGGGTCAGCAGGCAAAAAGTAATTCATGCATTCATGTGTTTATATCCAAAGCAACCCACCAACCCAGCACCTTGACCAATTGTATCATTTGTCCCCTAGTGCCAGTTCTAGTTTTACTCTTCAGCCCAAATGTAAGAGTATCAAGCTTTCTTTGAGTCACTTTTTGAACTGGTATCAGCAGAAGTGATTGCTGGTCAATACATGCTATTGCTAAACTGCCACACAACTTCTCTCCCTGGTCTTCTAAATGGCAACCAGATTTACACAGAGCTGGAATTACCACTAAAACATTTTTAAGCATACAATATGCTAATCAGAAGAAAGAACAGGTTTACTAAGTAGCATGGATCTAATATTTCTAATACCAGAAACTCAGTTTTGCTTTCAGATATAAATTATATAATTTACTTATTGACTTATTTTCCTTTACTGTGGCCATATAAAAATAAAACATATGGAAAGTCAGACGTCATTCTAATACCCAACATTACTTTGGATGATTGCAATCTTAACACACAGTATTTCTCTAGTACTTATTGCTTGAAAATTCTGCTATTAGAATAAGTGGAGGTGGGCTCTTTCTATCCTATTAACTATTTGCACTAAGAGTTAACACATGTTGACCTAACCCCAAATCCCCAATGAGACAATATTGAATACTATGAAACAAGTTGCCCATATCTAGTTTGGGCATCAAATTGGAATCTGAAAAGATACTAGTTATCCGTTATTAAGGTTAGGCTGCACTCATATCATTTTAGTGGATTTACCACTTGTTATTGCTCTTATTATTTAGAAAGCACCCAAACCACTAGAAGATATACATACTTAAAGCTATTTTAAAAAATGAAATATATTTCTGGCATAATGAAGGTTCAGGTTATTGTCCTGATGCAGCATCTCGACAACTTGCACTGATCTTAGGAAGCTAAATAGGCTGGAACCACTTCCACGCTGCTGGCAAGACAACTACTCCAAAGTGTTTATGGGGTCACCAGGAGTCAAACTCAACCTGAAGTCAACTTTACCTTTACCTTATATGAACATGATTGAAAGGCCACTTTGCTGTCTATATTTTCTTTTCCTATTGATTTAAAATCATTATTAAGTGTAATTATTTTATGTCATCAGGCACCTATGCATCTTTTCATGAATAAATTAGAGGGTTCTGTCAATTTCCACTAAAATTCTCCTATTGCGTTGATTCAGAGCAATTTATTCTTTATTATATTATTATTTACTAAGAACAGTTATAAGCAGCTTTTCAACAAAAAGCACCTAAAGCAGTTAACAAAGGGGCATACAAGCACATTTCAATAATAGCGTTTACAGTCTTAGGATCAGCAGATTTCCACATGTAGGTCTTCCACCCTATGTCCTCAAACAATAAAGGATTTCACTGTATGCAGTGCTGGAAGGCACCCATCCAGTTTTCCACCTGCCCTTTCCCTGATAAATCTGGTAATGTATTGGGTTACAGGGCCAGATTCAGCAGTACTGAGCTGTGTAGCTCAGACATGAAAAGCAAAATCGACAGAGCATAAGCCAGCAATTACACACTGAAATGCATTCGTAAAATCCTATATAAGGGGACTCCATCCATTGGTTCACATAACAGAGGAATCCTAAACTAGACATTTGACATTATTTACTTATGCACTATATTTGTGCTCTGCCTTTCCCCTAGGAACTCCATTGACATACATGGGAGTATCCCTCAGCAGCAGCTTCCATAACAAACCATGATGATGTCAAAATAACAACACAGATGCCATGACATAATCTTGCCAATAACATGTCATTTGAGTCATAATTGTCAGGCCCAGCCCAAGAACAATGGTGAAACAGTCCAGTTGAGCTAAGTTCCTTTATTTGCTTACACAATATGGACAGAAACCTGCTAGACTCAATCTATACTACTGCAACTAGTGGATATATCCTGGGAGATTCTAGGGAGTGGCTATCCTGAACCTTTTACACTTCCCGTGTTCCCCCTCTGGACTGTGTTGTCTTTTGTCTCCCTGCCCTTCCTGGAATGCATCCCCTCCTTCCTGATAGCCTTGCTCTCAATTGCTACCCACCACATCACCCTCCTCTTCACAGATACATTCCATCACAATAATGCCTGATACAAGTACATAGGTTGTCTTGTTTTCTTCATGATGTCATAATAAGGTGCCATCATTTGCCCCTTTGCCTCTGTTACTGACATCCATAATCTCCATTCACTCTATCCCTACAACAACAACCTTGTGAGACAGGTGAGGCTGAAAGAAAGCAAGTAACCCAAAGTGAGATCCATGGTCACGTGGAGCTTTGGTTTCCCATATATCTCCATACCTGGTCACACCAGCACTGCAAAGACAAGTAGGTCCCTTGGTAAGAACAGGATTTCTTAGAAGTTTGAACCACACAGCCATATTATGCAAAATGAATGTATTTCCTCTGTCTGGAAATACAATTTTCACATGATTTTAACTCTCCAGGAAGCGACTCAATTTTCATTCATTAATAACCACCTACCTGCATAGATTGAAAGCCAGACCCATGGGACAGTATCAAAGAGCACTTTATGTGAACCCCCTCCCCTTAAATCAACCAGATCTTCTCATACCTTTATATTTTTCAGGTATGTATTCAGCAAATCTACATGACTGAGAATATGCTTTGGCAGAGTGCTCTAGAAAGAAAATAATCTGACATAACTAACACACAGTAAATAGGGCTCTCAGAGGATCTTTTACACACTCACTCCATCAGATAATTTTCAGGCCTTTCTACAGAATTACAAGGTGAAGAAAATAAGATTGCACTCCAGCACCTTGTTATATATGGGGCACTCCCACTGAAATTACACAACTAGGCACAGTTTGCTATCTTGACTGGAGAAATAATTAAGCCAGAATGTAATTCTGCCTAAGGAGAGGGTGGGAGAGATCTTGTTGCAATAGATCCTTACATCACACACATGCATTAATTTGTGTGCACATACTTCCCAATGAATGATGCAACAAAGAATTCTAGAGTATGGCATATACATGGTGGATTTCTGCACTGTGCTTCGGTAAAGTGGAACACAATTATTACAAGGGTATATGTGCATGTGGCTAAAAATCAAGTTTCTGAATGATATATACATGAGTAATTAGATTGTTAATAAGACAGGTCACAGTGGTGTTAATAAGACTGGATGAAAGGAACAACAATTTTGGTATAAAAATAGATCCAAAATGTGGCTAAATGAAATGTGGGCCAAGACTTTTCATAGTAAAATTTTTTTTTCCTAAATGTTCCAAATTCTTTATTTCATCTCTGGAAGTATTCTTCTCAAAAAGGACATACATAGGATGTAGCTCTTACATGGCACTGAGAAGCTTAGATACCAATACTATTAGGACAAAAGGTACCAAAAGATACGGGGAGTTATAGCTTGGGCTGACCAACTTACTATTAATTATACAATCTAAGTAATCTGTATGGTAACATATCATCATCATCATCATCATCATCATCAGTCAAGTCAGTGTGGACTCCTGACAACTGCCTGGACAAGTCCCTGCAGTTTTCTTGATCAGATTTCAGAAGTGGCTTGCCATTGCCTGCTTCCTAAGGCTGAGAGGGTGTCACTGGCCCAAGGTCACGCAGCTGGCGTCATGTCTACAGCAGGACTAGAACTCACAGTCTCCTGGTTTCCAGCCTGATGTCTTAACTACCACACCAAACTGGCTCTCTCCTGGCAATTAGGTGCGCATTTGCATGTACCAATAGCACCTACAATTAATGAATTAATAAAGAAAACACATACCTAGTGTGGCTTTGGCCCCTTATTGACTTTCCAGGATCATTTCCTTCCTAGTAATCTTTCTAGATCCAAGCGACTGCTTTGTCTAAGACAAAATGGATTCTAGAACTAAGATGTCAAGATAGTGTCACTGGAAAAATACAAGGCACAACCAAGACCCACCATGAGCTGGTTCTGAACTGTTCTATAACAACTTATCTAAAAACTTTTAGTGATCAATAAACACTCTGAATGGCTCTTTGACCCAAGAGGCTTCTGAACACTTAGTAGAAGAAACGTATTGATACAAGCCCAGAAATAACAAAGGCTCATATGCAATTATTGCATGTGCTGAAATACCATTTGGTTTATCTGAATTCAGTTTGGGTTCTTAGAGCAATGTTAAAAACAATTTCAATGTTTCACTAATGAAAAAACTCCTATGCAATGTAACAAACAAGAATTGTAAATTAAGTGTATTAAAAATATGGGGTAGAAATGGGGCGGGTCATGATTTATGTAGTGTGTTTGCAGAGTTTCTATGTCTGAATGAAAAAAAATGTCTTGGGATGGGGATAAATCTGTACAAACATGGACTAGGAGGCAAGAAGACATTTAAAGAGGGTTTTTCCCCTTCTTTTTAAATGTGACATACTGATGGACAGTCCCCCAAGAAAACAGGCTCCTCTGAATCTGTTACAATGCACGGCGGGATTCAGCTGCATTATATAAATATTTGATGATCGCTAAATCATTTATGGCTCTGTCAGGGGTCATTTTACTTGTTTTAGATTAATAATTAAAAGGATAATTAGGAGAATGTACAATCTGAAATGTTCATCTAATTGTTCATTTTACAGTGTCTCTTACTAGGGTATGCAAAATCTTTCTCTCTCTCTCTCTCTCTCTTTCACACATAGAAACACA